TTCTACATACACATGCCAGAATTCACCCTAAGCCGGAACTGCTCCTCTCTGAAGGAGCATCAGGGATACACACACACCTGTGTCCTGCCCTCTGGTCTCAAGCCTCAACCCTCACTGCAGAGCCCATCTAAAATAACAATCTTAAGAGTCTCCTTCTTTAGGGGTGCCTGAGTGGCTCAGTCAGTTAAGTATCCAATTCTTGATTTTGGCTCAGGTCATGATCTCAGGGTCGGGCTCAAAATCCAGGTCCACCGCCATGCTGGGCATGAAGCCTGCCCAATACTCTCTTGCCCTCTCCCTCTGTCCTTCCCCTCCCCTTCTAAAAAAATGAACTTCGGATGGTCTTCTACCTCCCTCCTTTTACTCACAGACATTGGATGCAGCAGGAAACCTTATCGACTCTATGATCTATCCAAGCTCTTATCACATCTCTCCTCTAGTGCTGCTCTGGTCTAGCTCTACCACAAATTCTCCTAGATCTATTGCAGTGTCTGTCCTTTTCATGGGTCTCCTTGCCTCTATATCCCATGCTTTATTCAACAACTTAACATTTCAAATCTGGATATGCCCCTAAATTAGGTTGCTGGATTCCAAGAAGTGTGTGTATGTGTGTGTGTCTGTGTCTGTCCTCACACAATACCAAGCAAAAAAAAAAAAAGATTTATTTACTTGGGCAGGGGGTGGAGAGCAGAAGGAGATGGAGGGAGTCTTAAGCAGACCATGTACTAAGTGCAGAGCCTGAGGCGGGACTCAATCTCATTACCCTGAGATCACGACCTTAGCCAAAACCAAGATTCCAAAGCTTAGTAGACAGTGCCAGGTGCTCCAACACCAAGCAATTCTTAAAAGCCAGCAAGATGGCTTTTCAATTCTGACACTATCAGGCAATAAATTCAATTCTGACACTATCAGGAAATAAATCAGATTTGCAAGTTAAGCGTTCAGTCCTACAAGACTGTACCCTCACCTTCAATCTCCTGCCATTTCAGATGCCATTTGCAAGCCAGGCTGTTACTTGTGCTTCTCACTGGTTAAAAATCAGAGGTTCTCAAGATCTCCTCAGGTTTACCCCATCTTCTGGAATAACTCACAAAACTCTTGCTAGATTGCCAGTTCATTACAAAAGGACAAAACTCAGGAAGAGACACATATGGCCAGGTATGAAGACAGGGCACCGAGTGTCCATGCTCTTCTCCAGGTACACCACACTCCTGAAATCTCAGTGTTCACCAACCTGGAATCTCTCTGAACTCCATCCTTTAGGGTTTTTATGGAAGCTGCATTACATAACCTGGTAGATTAAATCACTGGGTATTGGTTCAACCTCCAGCCCATCTTGCCCACCCCAAAGGTGGGGAGAAATGAGAAAGGAGGAACTAAAATGTCCAACCCTCTAATCACAAGGTTGGTTTTCCCGGCAATCAGCTGAGGTGCTAGCAAAAGACAACTTTATCACTGTCAACACTTAGCAAATTCCAAAGGTGTTGGAAGCTGTGAGCCAGGAACTATGGACTAAATCAGATACATATATTTTGGCCATCTGAATGAACAAATACATACTTTTTGTAAGTCACCACATCGTATCCCCTCCCTCCCCGCCCTTTTTTTAAAAATTTTTTTTATGATAGTCACACACAGAGAGAGAGAGAGAGGCAGAGACACAGGCACAGGGAGAAGCAGGCTCCATGCACCGGGAGCCCGACGTGGGATTCGATCCCGGGTCTCCAGGATCGCGCCCTGGGCCAAAGGCAGGTGCTAAACCGCTGCGCCACCCAGGGATCCCCCCACCCCCTTTTCGACCTCGAGTGGACCCTGGCTGACCATGTCACCACTGCAGGCGACACCCCACAATGCAGACAACCTCATATTCCTTTAGGGGATGGCGAGGGCCCATGTGGCGGATTACTTCATTGGTGCGGATTCCTGGAAAATTCCTGGCTGGTTAAGACTACATTTCTGGGGCAGGTGGAAATTGCAATTAGATTAGACATGAAGTGCCAGTTTGGGGACTCAACCTGAGTTGACATTTTGGGCCTGTGGTTTTCTTTTTAACTCCACAATAACACTCATCACCCACTCACAGCTCTCCCTATGTTGTTCCTTGGAAAATACATGTTGACTGAAGTTTTGGAGACTGCTTTATGACTTTCAGTATGCTAGGACAGGGACAAGAAAGAAAAGACCCTAGACAGGGCACAATGGGGAGTTGGAGGGGGATGTATTTCTGGCCTGGGTAAATCAGTGACTGTTACAATCTAGCAAGCAACATTTTTATTGAGATAGTATTTAATACTTCCTATTTTCGTCTTCCACCCCTTTTCTACTTTTTGTAGTTTTAATTGTGCATTTTATAGATCCCATTTTCTCTCCTTTTTAATTTTTTTTAAATTTATTTATTTATGATAGTCACAGAGAGAGAGAGAGAGAGAGAGGCAGAGACACAGGCAGACGGAGAAGCAGGCTCCATGCACCGGGAGCCTGATATGGGATTTGATCCCGGGTCTCCAGGATCGCGCCCCGGGCCAAAGGCAGGCATCAAACCGCTGCGCCACCCAGGGATCCCTTTTCTCTCCTTTTTAACATAACTTCTTTCTTTTTTTAATTTTGTGTAGTGGTTGCTGTAGAGATTATAGTATATATCTACAGCTAATCCAAATCCACTTTCAAATAACCCTACCATTTCACAGGTAGTGTGTGCGTCCCTTAATATAACAAAATAATACTAATTCCTCTGTCTCAATTCTTGTATCATTGCTGTTATTCATATCACTTATATATATATTCACATACATACTCAAGTATGTTGATGCTTATTTTTGGAAGAAACTAGATCAGTTAAGAATAAGAAAATAAGTTCTTATTTTACCTCACTTATTCCTTTTCTGACACTTTTTTTTTTTGTAGACCTGAGCTTCTGAGCCATATCATTTTCCTTTTCTCTAAAGAACTTTTTTTTTTTTTTTTACATTTCTTACAAGGCAGGTCTACTAGCAACAAATTCTCTCCACTTTTGTTTTTCTAAGAATTCTTTATTTCTTCTTCACTTTTGAAGGATAATTTCACAGGGTATAGAATTCTAGGTTGGTAGGGTTTTTCTCTCAACATTTAAATATTGTACTCCACTCTTCTTACTTGCATGGTTTTTGAAAAGTTGGATGTTGTTATCTTTGCTCTTCTAGAGGTAAAATGTTTCCTTCCTCTGACTTCTTTCAGGTTTTTTTCCATCTCTGATTATCTGTAGTTTGAAAATGATATGCCTAGGTGTACTTTTTTTCTTTTAGCATCTTTTCTGCGGTGTTCTCTGGGATTCCTGGATCAGTAGCTGAATATTTAAATTTGATAAATTTGGGAGAAAGTCTCAATCACTATTGTTTCAAACCTTTTTTCTGTTCCTTTCTCTCTTTCATTTCTTTCTGGTTTTACCATTATTCACCTTCTACACTTTTTCAGTTGTTCCATAGTCCTTGGATATTCTATTTGGTTTTCTTTTTTTGTTCTTTTGTTGTTGTTGTTTATTTTAGTATTTTGTGTATTTGTTTGCTTTTATCTATCAGAGCCCTTATCATCTTAATCACAGTTGTTTTAAATTCCTGGCCTGATAATTCCAACATCCCTGCCTTATGTGTTTGGTTCTGATGCTTGCTCTGTTTCTTCAAAATTTGTTTTTAGCCTTTTAGTATGTGTTATAATTTTTTCTTAATACTTGGACATGATGCAGTAGTAAAAGAAATCACTGAAAATAGACCTCTAGCAATGTGGTCATAAGTAGTGGTAAGTTATCAGAGGAAACATACTACAGGACAACAATTAGGTCTCAGTTGTTCAGTAAGCCTTTGCTTCTAGGCTGTGAATCTCATGCATTTTTCCCCATCTCCCCCCCCCCCCATGAAAGTGGGACAAGATGGCTAGAGTGGCCAGGATTGGGATATTTTCCAGGCTCTGAAAAATCCCCAGCTGATTCTTCTGAGAGCAGTCCTTTCTTTGGTTCCTTTGTCCCTCTCCCTGCACATGAATGTTTTTCTCTGATGTTCACTGTGAGGAAAATCCCCCAAAGTGTGATGATTTAGGTTCTCCTATCACAGCACCAGAGCTCCTGAAGGAGGGTCAGCTCCTGGGTTTCCTTCATTCTGTTCCCCTGTTGGATTAATTTGAGGAACAGCAGTTTGGCTTGCCACTCACTTCTCTTATGGACCTAAGAAGAGTTGATTTTCTAGTATTTCCAGCTTTTTCTCAGGATGGAATGGCAATTTCCAGCTTCTTACAGGCTGGAACAGAAAACAGAAGTCCCTGTCTTCTCATGTTTTGTTCTAGTCTCTTGTGTCTTACTAAGAATTTAAAATGTGCATGTCTATAATTATCTAAAACTAGGCTCATTTAGAGATTTTAAATATCTTCTCAATCACCCAAATCTTTAATGCTGTCATGAAGTTTTGAAAGTTTTTAAATTTCAATTTATTTAAATTCTAGTTAACATATACAGTAAAACTGATTTCAGGTGTAGAATTTAGTGATTCATAAACAAAGTTTTAAATGTAAATATAAATTTAGATAATTTTTTCATTAAATATTTTGCACATGTTGAGATTTGAAAAATACAGAGTGGAATTGAGAATTGTTTCCTATGTCTCACTCTCAAACTGCTTTCTTTCCATTTCCGATTGTATAATGTTTGTTTCTGCCCTTTATAAATTTCAACTTTCTCAATGAGCCACCTGGTTTGAAGATTACACAGCAAAAAGATGATCTCAAGCAAGAAGAAACCCTCCCAGCAGTCTGCCTTTGGGCCTGAACTGCAACACTTCCTTGGTCCCCAGCCTACTGGCCTATTCTGCAGATTTTCAACTTGTTGGGCCATTAGCAAAACACAAATCCCCACCCCCCCATACACACACACCGTAATGGTACTAATATATCACACACTGAATACTTAAAAATAACAAGATAGTAAACTTTGTGTATTTTACACAATAAAAAAAATAAAAACGCCCTAAGAATTTTTATGATACAAAGACATAGCTTTAAAACACTACTAGAAAAAAGTCAAGCAAGAATTTTTTAGAATTGTGGTTCAGATGGTTCAAAAATTTTTGATAATGAATTCAAGAAACTGAGCTTAAGTTTACTTTATCTAAATCTTTTTTAAATAAAGATTTTATTTGTTTATTCATGAGAGACAGAGAGAGAGAGGCAGAGACACAGACAGAGAGAGAAGCAGGCTCCATGCAGGAAGCCTGATGTGGGACTTGATCCCAGGACTCCAGGATCACATCCTGGGCTGAAGGCAGACATTCAACCGCTGACCCACCCAGGTGCCCCTCACTTTCCCCTTCTAAACAACTCTTTCACTCAGTGATCAGCACCTTTGTTGTTTATAGACATTGCAGCTCTAATACATAACACACAGCCTTGTTAGATGCCATGCTTTTATGCACACAGCATGGATAATACTAAAAATACATATATGCACTTAGTGAAAACAGCATACAAGAGTAACTATAGGATTCCCTTTATAGAAAATTCTAGAAAATGCAAACTGGAGTGTCCACTTGGGGATGGCAAGTTGGGTAGGGCTGGGAGAGAGAATATGAAAAAGGGTGCATGGAAACTACAGGGGCTATGAATTATTCATTATCACGACTCTGGTGATGCTCCCATTGCGGACACATATATGAAAAATATATTTTATACTTTTAATAAATGCAGTTTTAATATATGTCAATACATCAATAAAGCTGTTAAGAAATAAAGATTCCATATAAAATCTGGACCTCCTCTTCCTCTAGAAATAATTTAACATCTGGCAAAGCTGTATTGACTCCACCATCACCCTTCCCTGTATCTTAGGTATGTCAACTGATTCCTTCTCAAAACAGAAGGAAATGCTGACAAATAGAGAAATCCTGCTAAGCAAAACAAGCCAGTCACAAAAAGACAAATACTGTATGATTCCACTAACAAAGAGTAAACAGAGTAGTCAAATTCATAGATGGGGTATAAAAAGTTTCCAGGTGTGGTAGGGAGGGGCTAGAAGGAGCTGTTTCATGGGTATAGTTTCAGTTTTGCCAGATGAAAGGAATTCTGGAAATTAGTTGCATAAATATGTGAATTTTTTAACACTACTAAACTGTACAATTCAGACAGTGTAATGTGTGCTACATGCACTTTGCCATAACATAAATGTAAAATAAAAAAAACTATATTACAGTATTTCCCAGGGACAAAGAAGAGCAGATATTTGAAGTCTTTCCTCCTCTGCAATACTCTAATGTGGTATGAACTTTTGGTGCCAAATGAGGTTAGAGTTTTAGATGAACAAATGCCATTTGTTGCACAAATAAGGTCTTTTTCCATTGCAAATTCTCTGATGTGTAATGGGGCTGGAGTTGCACCTAAGACTGCATATTGACTATACCCAGGCCTTCGTCCAGTGATCTCTTGATGTCTGATGAATGGCAAGCTGTGCCAAAACAATTTTGCACATTTACTCTACTCATAAGGTGCTTCCCAGTGTAGAGTTTAGAGTGGTACCTAAAGGCTTCGCCATATTCTCTGCACCCATGTTTCCTTACCAGTGTAATTCTCTGGTTAATGGCTTGGAGTTTTATCTCAAGAATGCCCCACATTTATGGTACTCATAGGTCTGTCTTCATTGTGGATTTTCTGGTGATGAACAAGATGGGACTTTCTAATGAAGGCCTTCCGACATTTGCTGCACTCATAGGGCCTTTCTCCGGTGTGGATTTTCTGATGCTCAACAAGTATATGTTTGTGGCTAAAGGCTTTCCCACATTCACTGCACTCATAGGGCCTCTCTCCAGTGTGATTCCTCCAATGTTTAATAAGGTTGGAGTTATACCGAAAGAATTTTCCACATACACTGCACTCATAAGGCCTTTCTCCAGTGTGAACTCTCTTATGTCTAATGAGTCTGCAGTGGTACCTAAAGGATTTCCCACATTCACTGCATTCATAAGGCCTCTCTCCCGTGTGATTCTGCCAATGTTTAATGAGCTTGGACTTGTACCTAAAAAATTCTCCACATAAGCTGCACTCATAAGGCCTTTCTCCAGTGTGAACTCTTTGATGTCTAATGAGTGTAGAGGTGTACCTAAAGAATTTCCCACATTCACTGCACTCATAAGGCCTTTCTCCAGTGTGAACTCTCTGGTGTTTAATGAGTGTGGAATTGTACCTAAAGAATTTTCCACATTCACTGCACTCATAAGGCTTTTCTGCAGTGTGAACTCTTTGATGTCTAATAAATGTGGAGCTGTACCTGAAAAATTTACCACATTCGCTACATTTATAAGGCCTTTCTCCAGTGTGAACTCTGTTGTGTCGTATCAATCTGTAGTTGTACCTAAAGAACTTCCCACATTCTCTGCATTCATAAGGCCTTTCTCCAGTGTGGATTCTCTGATGTTTCATGAAGTTGGCATTATACTTAAAGAATTCCCCACATTTGTTACACTCATAAGGGCTTAATCCAGTGTGAATTCTCTGGTGACTAATGAGCATGGAATTGTACCTAAAGACTTTCCCACATTCATTGCACTTAAAAGGCCTCTCTCCAGTGTGAATTTTCTGGTGCTGCACAAGGTGAAACTTTCTAATGAAGCCCATCCCGCATTTGCTGCATTCATAAGATCTTCCTCCAGTGTGGATTTTCTGGTGTTCAAGCAGTATTTGTTTTTGGCTGAAGGCTTTCCCACACTGAGCGCACTTGTAGTCATTCTGTCCAGATGCAAAGGCCTCCCCACACTCAGTATCCCCATGTGGTTTCACTGCATTGTGATAGGCCAGGTGTTGGAGAAGGCCTGTGCTGCCCAGGAAAACCTTCCCACCTTTGCTGCACGTGAAGCTACTGTCTGCCTTGTGAACACTGTTGTTCATTGCAAAGGAACACCTCCCCTCTTCCCTTCTGGAAAATTTGTCTCCAATCTGCTCCTTCTGGTGCCAGTGTAGGTTTGCCCCACAAATGTATAGCTCTTGATCGGGGTACAGTCCATCATGCTCAGCCAAGCGCAAAAGGTCTTTCCATCCTGGGCCACATGCATCGCAGGGCTGGGCCTCCTGGATGGATGGGCCTAGCTTTGGAGTCCTGACCTGTGATGCTCCTGAAGAAACACCTTGCTCTGAAGGTGCCTCCTCATCCTGGGCTCCATGCCAGCAACCTGGAAGCAGAGAAATGCTGGTAAAGTGCATGCTAACTCTGTTGGGGAAGAGGCAGCCTCATAGGAATCTGTGTCAGACACACCCACGGATGAGGCCATGGGCCTGCTGATGGGCAAGGGGGCCTAGAGACAGTGAGAGGAAGGCCTGCTGTGCAGAGCTCAGCCTGGCAAGTTTCCATGATGAGAGAGCCCTGACTGGGGAAGGACACAAGGGGTACTGTCTGGGACACCTGGGTGGCTCAGCAGTTTGGAGCCTGCCTTCAGCGCAGGGTGTGATCCTAGAGTCCCGGGATCAAGTTCCACATAGGCTCCCTGCATGGAGCCTGCTTCTCCCTCTCCCTGTGTCTCTTCCTCTCTCTCAGTGTTTCTCATGAATAAGTAAATAAAATCTTAAAAAAGAACAAGAGGTACTGTCTTAGTTCACTGGGGTTGCCACAATAAAATACCACAGACCACGTAGCTTATAGACAACAGAAATTTATTTCTCACAGTCCTGGAGGCCGGAATTCTGAGATCAGGGTGCCAGCAAGATGCCACAGGGTGAGGGCCCTCTTCTGTCCCATGTCGACTTCTCAGTGTCCTCACATAATGGAAGGGGCTAAGGGGCTCTGTGGGGTCTCTTTTATAAGAGCATTAATCCCATTCATGACAGCTCTGCCTTCATGACCCCCATGGTGCAGAGGCACCATCTCCTAATACCACCATACTGGGAGTGAGACTTGAAACATGAATGGTGATGGGGTGGTGGGGCAGATATTTAAAACTGCAGGTTCTGTGTAGGGAGGAGAGGCAGGGTTTTCAAGGCACTCCCACGCAAAGGGCTATTGCTCCTGGTGACTGGTGAGCATAGTGTAGAAAACTGTAAACAGACCTAGAAACCCCTAACCACACACTACAGTGATAATGCAACTCAAGAACTACTTACGGATGCAGGCAGGCCTCACAATATCCTAAGTATAGGTCAAACTTGGAGAGCCCTGCAAAGGGACCAGGACAACAGGATGAGGGGTGAAGCCCAATGGGTGTGAGATTGTGGCGGAAAGGGGATTAGTATTCAGAGTAGACATGAAAATGGAGAAGAAAAGGTAGAAATGAAGTGTGGCCCCGGGGCGCCTGGGTGGCTCAATTGGTTAAACATCTGCTTTTAGCTCAGGTCATGATCCTGGGATCCAGTCCCACATCAGGCTTCCTGCTCTGCTCAGGCAGGAACCAAGAAATGTCAGCAAGAGGAAGGGGGGAAGCCTGAGGCACCATGGTTCTGAGCATCTTGACTAAACGACCCAATCAGAGACAAGCCAGGTCTGAGGGATCTCTCAGATAAACTTCAATATTTCTGACCTCTGAGCCCTATCTTACAAATATTTAGGGCAGCAGGGATGGGACTCCTTGGGGAGAGTGCACACAGTACAATGCACACAGCCCAGTCCTGGCACCAGTAACACATATGCCGGGAAAGCAGGAAAAGAAGTATTACCCTTGGTCTTGTGGAAAGGACAGAGCTGCTCTTGGACAAAGGGGGAAAAAACAGTCCAACCTAGGACATGGGTGTGAGGGCCTTACCTAGGGAGGACAAAAGCGCAAAGTTCTCCATCATCACAGCATGGTACAAAAATCTCTGAGCTTCATCAAGGAGGCCCCACTCTTCCTGGGAGAAATATATGGCCACGTCTTCAAAGACCACATGGCTCTGCCAAAATTGGAACATTTGGTTCATGAGTTGCTTCTTGTGTTAACTGTGTCTTATGGATTCTGTATTCATCTGACTGCCATTCATTAATTACAGGGCTAAACTAACAGCCAAATTTGTTTATAACTCTCCCTTCCAGTCTGGTGCCCATACTCTGAACCACTTCCTCTACTAACTCACACACTAAGTCAACACTTTCCTTGTCCTAAATCAACCCAGGCCAGGTACAGATAACCAGACACATCCCTTCTACCCCAGGTACACTAACATTATATAAAATAGCCACCACTAAGCTTTTCACTCTACCCTTCCTGCATTTCTCCCAGAGTCCAATAAAGGCTCTGACATAAAGATTCCCTTTGCTGGTGTATATGTTCCTAACCAAATCCAGGGCTTCCCCATGTGGCCCTGTGTTACATGGTGTCCTCCCACCCTCTAGAGAAATAGAGTAAGAACCTTTTCTCAGTGTTATTGGTTTCTCCATGTCATCACTCACCCACCTCCTGTGGGTGCAATTATCAATATGCTTCTCTCTCAAGAGGCCCTTCAGTCCTTCCACACAGCCTTCCCTGCTCATCCTCCTCTCTGACTTCCCAATGTGGGAGCGTTACCAGCTGCCAGTGGCACTGCTGCCCACTCTCTCCTCATTCCCATTGATCACTGTGTCCAGAACACAGCATAAAACATGAGGAAAGGAGGGGCAGAAGACATCACCTAGGTTGTGGGCCTGACAATGTAGGGCACTCCCTCTCTCCCGCCGGCCACCTACCTGTGTGAGGACCTCACACACTCTCAGCCCTTTCTCCCTTCTATATCATACCAACTGTCCCATAAGCAGTCAGAACCTACCTCTCTCATCTGAAGCCCAGGTACACTTACCTCCCCACCCACATGGGGAGGTCTTCCTCCCACTACACATGAGGTCTAGCAATGCTTCAAGCTAACTAGTTTCCCCCTCAACATCTATCTCATATGCCCTCCAGTCTCAGAAGACTCTCTCTCTCTCTCTCTCTCTCTCTCTCTCTCTCTCACACACACACACACACACACACACACACACACACTCGGCTTCTTCAGCCTTGTGATGCCCATGACCATCACCCAGGTGCCCAATTAAGAAACCGAGTACTCAGGGCACCTGAGCAACTCAGTCACTTAAGCATCCAACTCTTGGTTTCAACTCAGGTCATGATCTCATGGCTAGTGGGATCCAACCTCATTACAGGCTCTGCTCAGCAGGAGTCAGCTTGAGATTCTCTATGTTCCTCTGCCCCTCTCCCCACTCACATGCACGCTCTCTCTCTCAAATAAATAAATCTCTTAAATACAAACAAACAAAAAACCCCAGTACTCAGGCCCTTCATTCCCATTCCTGCTCCTCTAATGCCATTGCCACCATGATCTAGAGATGCTGCCTCCTAAATCTGCTCCATAATTTCATCCTAGCACACACCCAGTCACCATGTTGTGGCTGTCTCCAATTTGAATCTATTCTCGGAACCCTAGGACTCTGCCTTGTGCCTACTTGATACCTCTCCTTGGAATCTCTGGGGCATTTGTGACATAGACAAAAACTAACTCTTCATGTTCCATCTGCAAATTCCTCATACCACTGACTTCCTCCATTTTTATTAGGAAGGATGGGTGCTTGAATAAGGCCAAAAATCTGGGGGCATCCCCAGTTCTTCCCTCCATCCCATCTCTCTTCTCCCTGAGTCTCAATATCATAAAGTATGAGTGGCTCTAGTTCAAAACCCATCCAGAAACCAACTACTCCTCTACCACCATAGCCACCACTCCTGCGTAGCCACCACTACAACACTTACCTTTACTGCTACAAGAATTTCACTGATATCCCCCTGTCTGTCCTTCACTCTGCAGTCAAGGGGAACCTATTAAAATCTGAGTCATAGCACCTTCCTCTTCTGTTTCTAACCTTCCCTACTTCCCACCAACCTCAGATTAGAGATCCAGAGCCCCAACCTGTCACTTGAAGTCTGATACCTGCATACTCCTATCTAATCCCAAGGTGGCTCCCCATTCTCACCAGATATGAGAGACCAGCAGTCTCCTGAACATCCCAGCCAAGTCTCACCTACAAGCATGTGAATGTTCTGAATCCTGTGGCCAGGACTTCCGGCCACATCTTATAACATCAGTTGTTAAAAACATATACAATCTAAATGTAGGATCCTGGGCCTGGGGAAAGCACATGGTCTTCAGACTCGAGAGAGTGAGAAGGATAAGAGAAGTCTCAGGAAAGTACCACTCCCTGATATAGGTATCGGGTGCCAAAACCACCTGCGTGACAATTGGGATGTTTGAAAGGTGGGACACCCTCCACTCACCTGCCCAGGGTCCATAAGCATCTCTGCCACCTCCATGGGACACTACGGGCAGAAGGAGACCATGAGAAACAGGTAACCATGGAAGGATCCCATGAGCTGAGCTGGACCAGCACCCCTACCCTGTCCACCCTGGAGCAAAGTGATCTCAGCCTGACAGTCAAAGTTCAGCTCCTCTAGAAAACAGTGCTGCCTCTTTTCAGTTGTCACCCAGAGCTTCATTCCATGGGATTGACAGTTTTGTGTATATTTTCAGTGCAAATGAAGTGCTGGGATTTTGAAATCTGAGGTCTTTATTTTTACCACTTTAAGATTTCATAAGATACCATACATAAAACTTTACATATAAACAAAAACACTAAGAGGTAAATTAATGTCAAATTAATTATGAAGTGTTTATACACATTTAACTTGTTGAATAGGTTCATTTCTAATTGTTTACCTCTGTGTACATTTTAAAAGGGATATTGATTAATTAATATTTAAGACCACAAATTTTTTATATATTAAATGAACGAGATCCTAGAAAAGGTTGAGCAGGCAGACAAGCTACTAGCACATATAGCAACAGGGTCTGTCTGTTACAGAACCCTCAAAAGGGAGCTTGTTGCAGGCACTGGACTGGATAGCCGCTCATATCTCATGCACTGAACGGTGGGAGTAAGGAAGCAGTCCCCTGTCATGGAGCCTGAGGCTCCATCAGCCTGGCTGACTTTTCCCTTGTTCCATAGTGAGTGGCCCTGAGGGTCAGCTGAGTCCCCAAGTGGAGAGTCAATACTAGCACATAACACCAGTTCCACCAAAGGGAAGCTCCTCATCCCAGCAACACCCCTCTTCCTAAGGACATAGACAAAAGATCTCTCTTACAGCAAATCTGCTCTTTTCTGAAGCAACATCAGGGATGCCAACACCTGGTTCCCATACCCTGCCCGCCATTTCTCAGCCCTCACCTCCCTTACCATCAGAAATCATCTGAAGACTCCTTCTTTGATGTGGTCCTCAGGCCAACCTCTGGTGCAGCCCACCCTCCACAACTCTGACAACACAGCCCCCTTCTCCGCCCTCCAGATCTCTACGTCCATATACTCACGTCATGTCTCCACCTGAGCTATCTTAGCATTAACACGTCCAAAATCAAGCTCAGGATTTCCGAATACCTGCTCCTTGGGCTCGCTTCCCCACCTCCATCTTTTCAGATGCTCGGGTCTTGACATGGCCCTTCACTCCCTACTTTTGCTCACATGTCTATGTGATGCAGCAGGATCCGCTCCCCACGCCTAAGCTCATCGTGTTTCCCTCTCCCGCCAGCGCCCGGGTCCAGCCTCCACTACAACTCCTCCAGAGAGGCCTGCGGTGTCTCCTCAGCAGTCTCCCCTACCCTAAACTGACTCTAGGCAAGCCCCGCCCCTCCTCGCCTCCCTGCGACCTCCCGTGGACCCTGGCTGCCCATGCCGCCGCTGCAGGAGACACTCCGCCTCGCCCTCTGTTTCCCGCATACACAGGGGGCACTGGTCCCCTCATCCCCCTGCCCGGACTCAGGAGCACCCGCCCCCCACCCCGCACCGGCGGAACCGGGTCCCCACGCCGGGCCCCATCTCCCCCATCCCCGCCTCTAGGGCATGGCTGCGGGGAGCTGAGCGGACGCCCCTCCATCCGGGCTGCGGCGCTCGGGTGGCGGGGCCAGCGGCCTAAGGGTCCGAGGGTCCAGAACCCACCTGAGCCGGCTTCATCAGCGCGGCCTCCGCCTCCGACCAGTGGGAAAACGGAACGAGGAGCGGCGGGCGACTGGGAGGGGACGCGGGCCCTGGCAGCCGCTTTTGCGGCGGGTACGACGCCTCTCCTCACGCTCTTCCGCCTCGTCACCTCCGCCTCCGCCTCCGCGAAGCGCCTAGAAAGCCCTGAACCCCGGAGCCGGACAGCCACCAAACTGACGAGAAGGAACGCCGGAAGTCCCGCCCCCACACGATGCGCACTCATGCAAGCATTCTTCTCTCAAGGCTTCATTGGCTCAGTCGCCGCCGCCACCGCCCTGCACCGCAGACTTATGGGTATCGTAGTTTCCGCTATCGCTACCAACTTCCCCAGAAGACGAAGGCCCTCCTACTTACGTGGCGGGTGAAGGACCAGTCCAGGCCTCAGCAGGGGCTCTGGGAAATGGAGTTCCGTGGCTCCACAGGTGGTGCGGGGCCTCGCCTGTTCTTTAATGGGACTTACCCAGATTTCTTGGAGCTCAGTCTGGAAGTCACAGAATGATTAGAGACCTGTTACTCCATATGCTTCGAAGCTTGATAGGTTCCCAAAGGCTATCACATCCAAAGGGACACACCGTATCACGATGCCACCTTGACTCATAGCTGTCAACGACCTTGTCACTTTTCAAATATAGACTGGATCTCTGGAGTTAGTTTTAACGAGTAGCATATGTGTCACAGGATAAGAAAGAAATGCTTCAGACAGAGCCATGGAGGGGAAGATATGATGGGGCACTGAAGTAGGTAGGATGAACAACAAGCAGGATGACGCTGTGCTGATTCCTAGGAAAACATCATTCATGCCTTCAGAATCAGACAGTGATTGTGTTTGAACCCACTGAGTGAGTAGTATTTCTTGAAATGCTACTACTACATACCTGAGGTATTTGTCAATTCCTTTAAAAATCTGAAATCTGGGGATCCCTGGGTGGCTCAGCGGTTTAGCGCCTGCCTCCGGCCCGAGGTGTGATCCTGAGGACCTGGGATCGAGTCCCACGTCGGGCTCCCTGCGTGGAGCCTGTGTCTCTGCCTCTCTCTGTCTCTCTCTCTCTCTCTCATGAATAAATGAATAAAATCTTTTTTAGAAATCTGTCTGAAAAGAACAGTGATCTGAGACATACCATCTTCTGCCAGAATGGTGTGTGCTCCTTTCATGTTGGGGCACCTGTAAAAAGGGAGCATCCTGTTCTTGAGACAAAGGTTAGGGATCCACTACCTATCTCATATCTTTTCTGGGAAGGAGTTTATTGTTTCAGTAAAATTCTAGCAACAGTGCCATCACAGGGAGTGGAAATTATCTGTGAAAAACATTTGTGAATTGGAAATTACTGACATGATCAGTTATTCAGAGTGTAGCAGAAATATTTCTAAGGAAACATACATGTAGTACGTTAAAAAAATTAAGAAAGGCTAAGATCCCAGTGAAGGTTGACAGACCATGAAATCTGAAAAGCAAGAGAATGAAGCTAAGCCTATGGCTGTGCTTCAATCTGGGCCACACTCATGTTTTTTTCTCCAAAATGAGATCGTTTTTATACTTGACAATGTGGCCAGTAACTGCTTGGAGGGATAGAGACAATATTTTGAAAGACTTGCCTAAAAGGTGAAATGAACAGGCAAACTGTGCTGTGGTATGTATTTACTGATCAAAATAATGTGGTGTATACCTACTGGGTTTCAGGCACAATAGCGGGTACATAGGACACATTGGGGATAGGGTTGCCAGCTGCTCTCTGTATTTAGGACTGTTCTGTGTTTGTCTATTAAACATTCATTTATCTGAAGGCCAAACTAATAGTCAAAGATGTGTACTTCTCTCTTGAAAGTCAGTTTCACAGACTTGCAAAACTCCTATTACAAATAACTTGGGGATTCCTGGATGGCTCGGCGGTTTAGCGCCTGCCTTCGGCCCAGGGCGTGATCCTGGAGTCCCAGGATCGAGTCCCACGTTGGCCTCCTTGCGTGGAGCCTGCTTCTCCCTCTGCCTGTGTCTCTGCCTCTCTGTGTCTCTCACGAATAAATAAATAAAATCTTAAAAAAAAACAACAAATACCTCAAGAACAAACCCTAATGTGTGTTTTGCTTCCTGCCGAATAGGGCATGTCTCTACCTAGGTACTTCCTGACACTTTAGTCGTAAAGGCACTCAGTTCCTCCTCCCATGCCCTCCTTCTTGCGTGTGACATGGTTTCATGTGGACCTCTGTGGTGTGCTTGGTCTCTTATTTCCAGGATGTTGAAAATTTAGCCAAGTTACCTCATGGTATCATTGTCTCGGTATCCACTTTGTTTGGCCAAGCCACCTGCAGGGACCTTACACTGACAAGTCATACCCTTTCATGGAACCACATGTCCTACATAACAGCCCAAAGAGCCACAAACAAATGTAAGTTCCTGATAGGACTTTCCAAAGACCCTTGTAATTAATTGTCCACAGCCTCCTAGCACCTTTGCCTTATGTTCACCCTTACATAAGACCTTCTTGAAAAAAAAAAAAAAGACCTTCTTGGAGCTTATCAAAACTCAGCTCTTTTTGGTTTGAACTGATCACCTGGGGCCACCTGGGTGGCTAAATCACTTAAACCTCTGTCTCTTGATCTCAGCTCAGGTCTTGATATTAGGGTCATGAGTTCAAGCCCCATAAAGAAAAATGAGTTGACCAATCTGACTTCAGCTGGGAAACCCAAAAGCACTCAACCCATGGACCCTAGTAAAGGCATGTGCACTGGGTCCTGCCTTTCTTTCTGCCTGCACTTTTGCCTTGATGTCCCTGTGTGGCCCCTGGAAGTGTGCCATGTACTTCCTCCAAGACCTGTTGAGTATACACTTCTCTATTTCAACTTCTCTCATGGTCCGTCATTGAACTGTGATCTGATCCACCATCAGGCATCTGGGATCATGAGCAGCTGAAGGCAGATGCTTACCTGGCTGAGCAACCCAGGTGCCCCTCCTTATGATATTTTTAATTTCTGTAGGGTCAGTAATATTTCTTCATTCCAGATTTTCTTAATTTCTCTTATTTTCTTCTTTTTTTAAAAAAAGCTTTTATTCATTTATTTGAGGACCTTAGTTTTGTACTAAGCAAATGTTAATTTACCACTCATAACACAGGAAACTGTTGAGTAGCACAATTTTCCCCTTAATGGCATTGACCTCTCCATGTTCACCCAGTCACCTTCATAAATCAAGACATGGTCACAATTCAAGGACATGTCCTGTGTTTAATGATTTGGTCCTGATTCCTAGATTGACTTACAGAATACCCTATATATCCTGTATTACAGCTTTTTACAATATATTGCAGAAAAGTCAGCAGTTAGGGACTTAATTACTAGGACCTTCCCTAATTTATGCCCAAACTTCCTACTTAGGAGCAACCAGAGAATGCCAAATAGGTACGCTTAACAGATCACACAAGATTCCCACTTTTATTTAGCTTCCCCTGCTACTTCCTCATGCCAGCATTCTACAATCAAGGCATACTTGAAACCTTACCTTTTTTCCGTTATAAAGCATTCCCACTCCCCTGTTTGCCTTTGAGTCTCTGCCAAATACAGGAGATGGGGAACACATAGACTTTATTTATAAAGATTAACAAAACTCAAGCAGGAAAACACTACAAAAACTGATGAAAATAAAAAGCTGGTTCTTTCAAAAAATTAATGAAATTGACAGCTTTAGTTTAGGTAGGTCAAGAAAATAAGAGGAGAGGGGCGCATGAGTGGTTCAGTTAGTTAAGTATCTGACTCTTGGTTTTGGCTCAGGTCATGATCTCAGGGTTGTGGGTTGAGCCCCACTTCGAGCTCCATGCCCTACATTAGAGTCTGCTTAAGATTCTCTGCCTCTCCCTCTCCCCTCCCTCCACTCTCTCTCTCTCTCAAATAAATGAATAAAAGCTTAAAAAAAGAAAATAAGAGAAATTAAGAAAATTGGGAATGAAGGGGAAATATCATTACTGACCTTACAGAAATTAAAAGTATCATGAGGAGGGGCACCTGGGTGGCTCAGCCAGTTAAGCATCTGCCTTCAGCTGCTCATGATCCGAGGGTCCTGGGATGGAGCCCCACGTGGGGTTCACTGCTCAGCTGGGAGCCTGCTTCTCCCTCTTCCTCTGCCCCTCCCATCTGCTTGTGCTCTCTCTTTCAAATAATTAAATAAAATCCTTTTTTTTAAAAAAAAGTATCAAAAGGAAATATTATGGGCAACTTTACCACCAAACTTAAACAACTTCAATTAAATATACAAATTCCTTAAAAGACACAAATTATTAAAATTGATAGAAGAAGAAAATCTACAGGGCAGTCCTGGTGGCTCAGCGGTTTAGCGCCACCTTCAGCCCAGGGCGTGATCCTGGAGACCTAGGATTCAGTCCCGCATCAAGGCTCCTTGCATGGCGCCTGCTTCTCCCTCTGCCTGTGTCTCTGCCTCTCTCTGTGTGTCTCTCATGAATAAATAAATAAAATCCTTTTTTATAAGAAAATCTACAGAGAAATACACTAATAATAATAATTGGACATCTTCCCACAAGAAAATCCCAAGCCCAGCTTCCTTCAGTAAGGAATTCTACCTACCATTTAAAACAAATGTCACGAGGGAGGGGCAAGATGGCGGAAGAGCAGGGTCCCCAAATCGCCTGTCCCCACCAAATTACCTAGATAACCTTCAAACAATCCTGAAAATTTACGAATTCGGCCTGAGATGTAAAGAGAGACCAGCTGGAATGCTACAGTGAGAAGAGTCCGCGCTTCTATCAAGGTAGGAAGACGGGGGGAAAAGAAATAAAGGAACAAAAGGCCTCCGAGGGGGAGGGGCCCCGCGAGGAGCCGGGCTAGGGCCGGGGCGAGTGTCCCCAGGACAGGAGAGCCCGGTCCCGGAGAAGCAGGAGCTGCACCAACCTTCCCGGGCGGGCGGAAAGGGGCTCGCAGGGAGTTAGAGCAGGACCCAGGAGAGCGGGGATGCCCTCAGGCTCCCTGGGACACTAACAGACACCTGCGAGCGCAGGAGAGTGCTCCGAGCTCCCTAAGGGCTGCAGCGCACACGGAGGGACCAACCGGAGCAGCTCGGAGGGGCTCCAGGGAGGGAGCTGCAGGGCGGGAGCGCGAATCCAACAGCGCAGGCCCCGGAGCACAGGGCGCCGGGACACAGCCCAGGATCCGGCCTCCCCCGGGCAGGCATTCCTGCGGAGGCTAAATCCAGGCTTCCAGAGTTGCCATAGCAACTGCTGCTGTTCCTCCTGGGGCCCCACGGGGGTAAACAACCCCTGCTGAGCCCGGCAGCAGGCAGGGGCAGAGCAGCTCCCCCAAGTGCTAACATCTGAAAATCAGCACAGCAGGCCCCTCCCCCAGAAGACCAGCTGGACGGACCAGTGATACTCCCCCGTGTTCCAATACAACTTGTTTTTGGCCACTCTGCACTGAGCAAAATGACTAGAAGGAAAACCTCACCTCAAAAGAAAGAATCAGAAACAGCCCT